GAAAAAAAAAAAAAAAAAAAAAATTAAGGCAAGGTCTTCACTTCACAACATATACAAAAATTCCTCTTGACTTAAAGAATTCATTTTAAAGAAAGGGCTAACTTAAAACAGTACAATAAAAGACAAACAAGGAAGTTAAGCCTGAAATTCTGAGGCAGTACTGTAAAACAGAGACACAGATACAACCACACAGAAATATATAGAGAGGCCAGGGGTGGCTCAGTGGTCAAGCATTTGCCTAGTGCTCCACCCCTCTTGTTTCAAATAAACATCGGTACTGTTTTTGGCTTCTCTCGTTCACTTCTCTGTTTGAGCCAAGAAGGACTTGGAATGCATCTAACTGGCAAGACCTTCTAAAGGAACTACCCACCAACACTAAGAACAGGACAGCACACTCTCGGAGCCTGTGAGGGTGATGTTTACCACAGACCCAGTCTGCTCAAGACCTGCCAAATTCCCAGGATGTCTGGGTCCAGACTGGATTTTTTGTTTTGCTTTGTTTGTTTGTTTTTAGACAAGGTCTCACCATGTATTTCAGACCAGCCTTGAACTCACTATGTAGCCCAGGCTGTCCTTATACTTGTGGTGATCCTCCCACCTCAGCCTCCTGAGTGCTGGGATTACAGGTGTGTGACACCACTCCCAGCTCCAGACTGGATTTTAACAAGCAAAACTCAAATGAGCACCAAGACCTGTCATGTAAAGGCACAAGATCCCAATAATGAATGTAACTGTACTATATACCAATAAACTCAATTAAAAAAAAAAGCAAAACTCAGGTTGGGAGTGCACGTAGAGGTAGAGCACCACATGCTTAGGATATGAAAGGCCCTGTGTTGAAAACCCAGCACTAAAAAAACAGCAAAACTGATTGATATCTTCATAAGCAACTCACTTGAAATGCAGAGATGCAAGTAAGTAAAAGCAAAAGAATGAGAAAAGACCACTGACCCTAATCAAATAGCCATGGAAATTTAAAAGCAAATGACATTACCAGACATATAAAAGGTCATTACTCAATAATAAAGAGGTCAACTGGTTAAGAGGCAGCAACAACCTTATTATTTGCCTAGTAACAAAACTTCAAAACATAGGCAGCAAAAACAGACAAGCCAAAGCATTCCAAGATTTCAATATGTCTCTCATAGTGACTGATAAAGCAAGTAGACAGAAAATCAATAGGGACAGCAACCTGAACAAAACTACTAACCAACCAACTTGACCTGCTGCCTGGTTTACAGAAAATAGCCATCCTGACATCCGTTATCTATTCCCTGATCCATCTGTCACCTCACAAAACACAGACTTTGCAAGGTGATCAAGTTAAGGACCTCCAGAAAGGGAAGATGTCCAGGTTCACATGGGTGGGAATAGTACAGTCACAAAAGTCCTCCCATAAGGGAGGAGGAGATGGGGACCAGGACAGTGCAGGCAACCAGAAGGACACGTCATGGGCACATAAGCCCGTGAGGCTGGACACAGCCAGGAACAGGTGCAGAGGAACTGGTCCTGATGACCACCTGGAACTGCTGCCTCTCCACAGGGAGAGTAAATTCACACTGTGTTAAACCACTGCAGCAGGAGGGAACCAACACTCCTCTGGCACACTTCACCAACAGCAAAGTCGACATTCTGCTTAAGTGCTCACAGATCACTTAGTAAGATGCACTAATTCTAGGCAAAAAAAAAAAAAGTTAAAAATCTCAAATGTGAAAGGACTCAAATCATAACAGAAATAAAAGTATGTTCTCTGCCTCGACTGCACATAGCATGTCAGAACTGATCAGAACACGATGGTGCTTGCATCATGGATCCTGTGTCTGTGGGTTCAACTGAGCGAATTCAGACTTGATTGCTCCTAAGCGCACAGGCAGAACTGAGCTTGCGTATTCCTTGTGATGCTCCCTCGTGGTGCTCCCTTGCGTGGTTGTCCTTGCAGCAATGATTCCGCCCTCCAGAACGAGGTGTGACGAGCAACCCAGAGATGATCTGGCATACATAGAGGTCACCTGCGAGACTGTGCCACTTCATGCAGGACTTGAGCAGCTGCAGACTGGTGTCCCCCGGCTGTGCCCATCCTGGCCATGCGCATTGTGCTGCACTCAATACACCCGGTAGTAGTTAACTGATTAGTTGTCAGCCTGAGTGGGGTTCACCCAGAATTGAGACAGCATGATTCTGAGCATGTAAGACCACTTTAAGGAAGACTGTTATTGGACTGCTAGAAAAGGAGAAAGGGAGAATCCGGAATCCAGCTGATTTCCTTGGAAGAGTTTTGTGGCAGCTAATTTTCCTGGGAGGAGTTCAGGTCTTCCTTCGCCTTTGCCTTGGGTGTTGTCTCATGAATTTTGGCACAGATTCTTCAGCTTCCAGCACCGGCCTTCCACAGCAGACTTAGCTTCTAGCAGCAATGCTTCTTCTACCTCCCAGTGCAGACCCCTCAGCCTTCTGTCTTGAATCCTTCAGCCTCCTGATGCAGACTCATAAGGGACACTGCCTTCGGCTAGACCCTTCGCCTCTCTAAGGCACAGACAGATCTCTTGCACTCTCCTATATTTGACCATGTGGGCAGTCACTGTAGGCCAATCTTATATATTTCTGTGTCCTGCACGGAATCTAATTCAGAACATGTGCAATCTTTTGAGGAGCTGTGCCCCAGCCTGAAAGCTTTTCTAAGCACTGACCAAGGCACACATCAGTAAAAACTGAAGTACTACTAAAAGTGCTTAAGCCAAAGCAGGAAGAATTGAGAATTTCTTACATGGGAGATTAACCTGGGAAACAGAAAAGAAGCAGGGAATAAGATTAAGAAGAAAGTGCCTTATTAAAGGAGGGCTGAGGTTGATTGTGGCCAGGGTAGCAATTGTTACCTTTCTCCTCTAAGTTCTCCATCAGCCAACTGTTTTTCTGGAAGATTATCAGTCACTTTTCCACTACAAACTCTGAAAGACTCACAAATGGCCTACAGAGGAAAGCCTTCAACTTCTCCATCCAGACCTGCAAAGCCTTTCATATGCTGACCTACACCATTTGTTTTCCACTTGCCAAAACCAACCATCTGCGAGGAACTGTCCTGGACCCCCTGGACTCCTGCCCACACTTGCTGGGCAACTCTGGTGCTAGTCTTCTCCACAGTGAGTCTGTCCCACCTTACTGTCCAAGTATGTGAACATCTCCCATCCTGAGTGCCACACAAACGCACAACTTCCACAGAAGTCTCCAAACCCCTCCAGGTCACATTTCCCATCTTATTCCCACAGTACTCCTCTCGCCTTCTATTTACCTGCTTTGTTTTTAGTGGTGAATTTGGTGAAGAACGAGTCCTTTTGCTCTACTGTCCCTGCAGTACAGCAAGATGGCAAGCATGGGTGAGTGGGAAAGGACGAGCAGAGGACGAGACCTCAGGCATGGAAAGCAGATAAACTATCAGCATCAGTTTGGGGACAGGTGTACCCCACAGCCCAGATCACTTAGTACTCTGAGGCAACAGGGTGTTTCATGAAAGCTCAACTCACCTGAAAACTGGCCACAGGGAAGGGGGGATGTCCCCCTTGGAGAAGGGCAGAATCGGCAGAAGACAGACCTAGTGGAAGAGGAAGAAGCCATAGTGAATTAGTGTAAATGAGCTGTCCTCGGCAATCCATAAGGCTCACTCACTTTTCTACTTGGAAGTAACAAAAATTACAGTTTCCTCCACATTTAATTCAGAATTTAAAAAAGCAAAAAACTCCAGTGACATAAGCTGTTAACGGAGGCCTTGGAACCCTCCTTGGCAGGCTTTGGAGGGAAAGGACTGCTTCCAGGCTCAGTTTGGTCCTTAGATATTTCATTAGTCATTTGGATAATACAGCTTGATATTTATTTCTCAGAAGCAAACTATTTTTGCTCACTTTCTCTGCATACTACTTTCTAAGTCTTCACAGGTCCTCTGAAAACTCTATTAATGTAAGTTAAATGTCACAACAACATGCAGTATTTATTCTACCCACCCACCAGAATGTCTACAATTAAACAGGCCTGGTCAATACCAACTGCTGGCAAGAATACAAAGCAACTGGAACTTCAGTGCATTGCTGTGGGGTATAAACTGATCAAGGGCTTAAGAAAACTGGGCGGAAATACCCACTAAGTCTACAGTTATAACAGCAATTCCACTCCCATGCACATACCACAGAAGTGCTTATGTCCACAAAAAGCCTTGTACAAAAACATTTGCAGCAGGTGTATTTATATTGTCAAACTGAAAGCCCAGTGTCTCCAATGGAAGGAAGCATGAACAACCTGTGGTGTATTCGTGCAGGAGGATGCTGCCCCCAAGCACACAAGACAGAGCTCCACATTACTGACAAATGAACAGAAGTAGTTATAACCCACATTTGTTGGGATGAAGTCAAAACTGAAATAAGACCCTCAAACTATAAAACTTTTTAAAAAAGAGATAGGATCAAATCTAAGGATAGTGAGAAGCATAAAGAAAAGGAAAAGCTAAGCAATCGAACATGCAGGACCTAAGCTCTGTCAGAGATTTAGACAGCACCATCAGGGTGCCCCGGACAGTCTCTTGGGAAACTACCACGAGACACTCAGTGCTGTCTCATTCTATCCCCAAGATTCAAATTAACAAAAGACCCCAAAGGCCTGCTGTGGATTTCAAACCAGCATTGGTTAAAAGAGGGCTGGGCAAAATGTACCGAAAGTAACCTGACAGAAACAGGAAGACTGGGTTGTCCACGGCAGTAATCCTGAGTGTGAGTCTTGCCAGCAACTCCAGATGAACCACCAGGAGGGAGAATGGCCACAGAGCACAGCACCACAGGGGCAGGGCCAGCGCCAGCGCCAGGCGCCATGGGCAGCTCGGCAGGAGGCAAAGCTGAGGGGATGAAGGCTTCATCTGTCTAGGGAGGATCGGATGTTTCATTTTGTTTAAAATCTGTGTGAGTGAAAAGAGTCTTATTTTCCCTGTCTCAAAGTAGAATTTTTTTGGAAAAGAGAATCTTATCTTAAAAAGGTATTATCCCTCAAAAAGAACAGGAAGCAATGAAGAAAATTACTACTCCCGATTCTGTCCAGCAACAAAACAGAAAAAAAAAAAAAAAACTTTTCTAATAGAAATCTTGAGAAAAAAATGAAGATGTTATCTTGGAGTTTTTCTGCAGTGAAAGGAACTGTTGCACATGGACAGCTGCCAAACCAAAACTTTGGGAAACAGAACCAAGAGAAACGTCTCTAGCAAGAGGCTTTGGATTCCAAGTAGGGCACATTAAATGCTCAGTAAATGTAGTGCACAGCTGTGAACAGTCCCAAGGGAAAGCAAGGACTTCATAAAATCATCCGGGCAAAGTTAAGCCTGAGGAACTTGGAATTTAAAAGAACGTTATAAAATGTCAGGAAGAGCAAAAAAGGAAAAATACAAATGATAGCTCAAACCTACATGAATAATGCTAACTTTTAATGACATCATTTAAGAAATGCAAGAAAAAGGACTTCATGGTAACAGGTCAAACCAAACTGGACTGCACAGTTAAAACAGTGGCAGTGCAGAGAGAAGTCACTGTTACAGCGCTTCCTCCACTTGGCCTTTCCGTGGGATTCAGAAGACTTGATTAAAAAAAAAAAATCAAACAATCCGAAACACTAACTCCCGACACTAAGAACAACTACATTACACAAAAACGCCACGAATCTACTTCAGCACAGTATATGTATGATACTGATCTTTTTAAAGCAAATAAATCTTCTCGCCAAGGAGCAGAAGTGCATGTGATGCTTTCGCGGTCCGTTTATCCTTTCAGGCTTCTCTCAAGCAGAGCTGTTGCGTCGCAGGCCCTGCAATGCTAAGGAAACGCTGCCAGGCAGGGGTTGTCTGGCCTGGACACGCGCGTGGAACATCGCGAACCCAGGCCGGCAGCAGGCAGAGTCGTGACTGCTGCGGACAAGAGGCGGGCAGCGAGGAGAAAGAAGATCGGTCCTTGGGCTCTGACCCAGCGAGAACAGAGCTCGACACAACGCTTGTCCAACACGAGGAACAGAAAGAAAACGCCAAAAGGGAGCTGTGCACCCAACATGGCGAGTTTAATGCACGGGCGTGACGGACGGCCGTGGGCCAGGGTATTTCAGAACTACGGATGCGTACAATGAAGAAATGGCTACCAAGACTAACATCGAACAAGCATAAGTCATGCGGGGAATCAGAGCCGTTCAGTCTTTTCTCCTCCCGATTCTCCAGTTGGAAGCCAGGGAGAATGAACCCCGTCCGGGTCTTTGCCTCAACCCGACCGCCTCGACCCGGCCGCTCACCCTGCGCTCCCGCCTGAAGTCCAAATCTGTTGTGGATCCTACTTGTGTTTTTGCCAGCACTGTTACAGTTGAGTAGAGTTATCTGGGATGAAGAATAATACTGCAGGTATCTGTGATGGTATACTTTTTATGTGGATGGTGGGTGTCAACCAAAATATTTTACAGAGTCATTAAGGTAAAGATTTGGGGAGGTATTATATAAGAGTTAAAGAAGATAATTGGTGTTC